TGGGGCCGAACCTGAGCTCCTGGTGTACAAAAAAATAACCCAAGGTCTCTCGGTCCTCGACTGAAGCTGAATACCGCGCCCTTGCTCTTCTTGCTGCTGAGACCATGTGAGTCACATATATTCTTCGCGAACTCCGCGCTACTCACACTGTTCCTGCTCTCTATTGTGACAACAAATCAACCATCTGTGTGGCCAAGAATTCCGTCCTACAAACCAGAATGAAGCATGTTGATACCGATTGTCTCTTTGTTCGCGATGAAGTTCAGGCCGGCACCATGACTGTGCAGTATGTACCCACTGAAGAACAACCGGCTGATATTCTCACCAAGCCTCTCCCGAGCCAACAGCACGATTACCTCAGTTCCAAGCTTCCGTTCGCTTCCGCTCAGCCCAGCTTGAGGGGGGATAATAACAGATAGTATTAAATAAATAGTATTAAATAATATTAGTATTTACTGTATACTAATCCTAGTCCTATTAGGATTAGTAATCCTTAATCCTAGTCCTATTAGGATTAACACTCCTTCCTATATCTCCTATATATATCTCCGATGTATTCCCTTATAAGGTTAACACTTCAATACAATCAATATTCCTTCAGCGTGGAATATTAATTATAAGGGCAAAATGAGAAAAAAATAATTAATTCTATTTTGATTTATCAAGTGATCCAATAATATGAAAGTCATGTTCTCTAATAAAGGCAATTTCATACAGAAGGAGGCTCGAACCCGAGAACTCTAGGATCTTGGTTGAGGATGAAGAAGTATTTAGCACTCCATCATAACCGTTATTACGTTGTGTTGTCCACCTTACGGAGTCAAGATAACATTAATTATTTTTAAAGTGTTCACATTTATTTGTAAAATTGCCAAGATATTTTTTTAGGACAAAATTAGTAAAATTAATTTTGTATTTATGATTTTGTAAGCACAATACAAAATAAAAAATGGTCAACAAATATGGGACATGATATGGAGGGGGTATTTTTTTGGTAAGAAATGTGAGGGAGGGAACAATAATTTGGGTATTATCTCTCTAAGGGAAAAGATTAATTAACAATTTAACCTTAATGATAACTAATCATTAGATCATGAATTAATTATTATCAGAATTGTTAAAAAGTTTGAAGTGAAGTTACATATTAATTAGTGTTCTGCGATCGAGATTTGTTGTATGATGAGCGAATTAAGGCGTAAAGGTAGTGGGGCCAGAATATCTTCTCGCAGTTTCTGCTTTAGTTTTAGTATATGCAAATCAGAATCTTAACTAATGATCCTCAACTTAACTGCTCTTTGATCTTCTTAAACACTTTACTATTTTTCTCTATTTCCCAAATTATAAAAGAAACCATATATGTATATATTCATTTTTAAAAAGAGTGATTTTCCTTTTTTTTTTAAATAAGTTTTGAAAGATGATTTTTCTTTTATTATTTTGATTTCAACTTTTTGACGTATTTAAGATTATAAGATTAAATGATAAATTTGTATATTTGATATAACTTTAATTTAAAATTACAAAATTCAAAAATCTTATTTATTTTTTAAAATTCTATTTAAAATCAAATTAGATTATTCTTTGTAATAGGAGCATCACATATGCATGGATTATCACAAGCTCAATATGACCACTAAAATATCAGTATCCAAATCACATATGCATGGATTATCACAAGCTCAATATGACCACTAAAATATCACTATCCAATTCTCTTCATCAACTACGTGTTAGATAGGTGGACAGGGAAGCATATTATTACTTTTTAAATGGTTACTCAGGTACTAGTTATAAAAAAATTGGTACAACTCCCAAAGGCCAGGAGATAATAACTTTCATTTTATGCAAGCCCCTGTTATATGTACATTTCATAAGTGTATGACACAATTTTTCCAAAATTGATGGAGGATTTTGTTGAAAATGCTTAGCAATGATTTTGTGTCCTTTTTCTCGTTATTGTTTTTTTTTTAGAAGTGAAGAGACCATAATTTGGTATTTGTTAAAGAATAACAAAAGTTTCATATCGGTGATTAATAAGATGAGTGGACTTCTTATAAGGTTTGAACAATCCACCTCTCTTTGAGCTAACTTTTGGGGTGTGAGTTTGGCCTAAGACCTAATTTAACATGTTATCAGAGCAGGGTCCGTCTCACCCGATGTTGGAGCCTCCAAAATCAAAATTGTCCATCCACTAGATGCTAAGCACTGGGCGTGAGGTGGGGTGTTAAAGAATGAGAAAAGTCTCACATCTGTGGTTAATGAGATGGATGAACTCCTTATAATGTTTGGACAATCCTCATCTCTTTGAACTAACTTTTGGAGTGTGAGTTAAACCTAAAACCTAATTCAACCCTTCTCAATCGAGAAGAAAACAATTCTTGACACGTGTTCCTTGTATCAATAAGAATCGAGTCTATAAAAAAAATAAAGTAATATTTAAATTATGTGTTTATGTAAAAAATTTAAATATAAAATTATAAATTTCAATTGACAAATGATCAGTTGTAATACTACACTCATATATAACATAATGTAGCTTTAGTTTGTAGAGCGTGCTTTAGTGCATTAATACAAACATAATGTTTACTTTAACCAATGATAATACTTCGTTCATACATTTAATTTTTTTCCCTTTAACTGTTAGTGTATTGGTGATGAGTTATCATATTCCTTTTAAGTACAGTTTTATGTTGAAAATTTTAATATATATTATATATATATATATTATATATATATATATATATATATATATATATATATATATATATATATATATATATATATGTTAACACAATATACACATGCACTTAATTTAGTATAATGAATTGGAGAGAGCATTAAGAAAGAATCTAAATGGAGTGGGATAATTAATAAAGTACGTTTGCATGTTAAAAAATTGGAGGTAGTTAAGTTAATATTTGAAGTGCCACCCAGATCAACCACCCTATTTGATTTGGGTATCTTGTGGAGATTGAGAATATACAAAAACTCTGAAACTAACAGTTGTCACCAGCCATTTAAAGTATATTTGTAAAAGGTGAGCGTTGATCTTGCTTCATCTATATAATCAATCATTGCTCCTTTTGTGACAAAGCTATCATTTTGCTGAGGGCCCCTTTTATTAAAACTACTTTCTATATAAGTTGCTCTTTAATTTGCCAAAAAAAAAGTTCATATTCAAACAATACTTTTTTCTTCCATTTTTTTCACATTTATATTATATCTTGATAGCCGAAAACACAAAGAAGAAGGAAGCTAAGAACAATACAATTATAATTATATTATGGCCATAGAGATTGAGAAACGTTCAACAGTAGTTGGTCTATCAAACGTTGCAACGTCTGACACTCATGGAGAAGACTCACCTTACTTTGCTGGATGGAAAGCATATGATGAAAATCCATTTGATGAAGTTCACAACCCATCTGGAGTTATTCAAATGGGATTAGCCGAAAATCAAGTAAGTTTTTTTTTTATCATCATTATATTATATTTGGCCATGCTAAACTTAACGTTAAATATTGAATTAACTTAAAAATCATTTCTTGTATTGTATTATAGGTGTCATTTGATTTGCTGGAAGAATACTTGGAAAAGCAGAAAGATGATGGCGTAGCTGAAATTTCAAGATTCAGGGAAAATGCTTTGTTTCAAGATTATCATGGACTAGTTTGTTTTAGAAAGGCAATGGCTAGCTTCATGGAAAAAATAAGAGGTGGAAGGGCAAGATTTGATCCTGATAGAGTTGTTATTACAGCTGGTGCTACTGCAGCTAATGAGTTGTTAACTTTCATTTTAGCTGATCCTGGTGATGCTTTGCTTCTTCCAACTCCTTACTATCCTGGGTAAACACCATATATATCATATCTTGTGTTATGTTGAATTGTGTGACCATTAAATTATTATTTAGTTAATAAATATGATAGAGATTATTATTATTTGCAGATTTGATAGAGACTTGAGGTGGAGAACGGGTGTGAAAATCGTTCCAGTCCATTGTGACAGCTCAAATAATTTCCAAGTTACTCCACGAGCCTTGGAAGATGCCTACAAGGAAGCTGAATCCAACAACATCAAAGTAAGAGGGGTTCTTATAACAAACCCCTCAAACCCTTTGGGTGCCACCGTTCAAAGATGTGTTCTTGAGGAAATTCTTGAATTCGTTACCAGAAAAAATATCCATCTTGTCTCGGATGAAATCTACTCAGGTTCAGCCTTTTGTTGCTCCGAATTTGTCAGTATTGCTGAAATACTTGAATCCAGAAACTACAAGGATTCAGAGAGGGTACACATTGTGTACAGCCTCTCTAAAGACTTGGGACTCCCTGGGTTTCGAGTAGGTACAATCTACTCATACAATGACAAAGTTGTCACAACGGCAAGAAGAATGTCAAGTTTTACATTGATTTCTTCTCAGACACAACAACTATTGGCTTCCATGTTGTCTGATGAGACATTTACTGAGAATTACATAAAGAAGAATCGCGAAAGGTTAAGAATGAGATATGAAATGATGATTGAAGGGCTGAGGAGTGCTGGGATTGAGTGCTTGAGAGGGAATGCGGGATTGTTTTGCTGGATGAACTTAACTAGTTTGTTGGAAAAACCTACAAAAGAGTGTGAATTGCAAGTGTGGAATACAATATTGAATCAAGTGAAACTCAATATTTCACCAGGTTCTTCTTGTCATTGCTCAGAGCCAGGTTGGTTCAGGGTTTGTTTTGCTAACATGACTGAAAATACCTTACAAATTGCACTCAAAAGAATACACCATTTCATGGAAACAAGGGCCACACTTCAAAAATACTAATTACTCATCATCATTATTTACAATTTTTTTTTATATTTTTTTGCTTTGGGGATTATTTTTTTTCCAGTTAGGATTGCTACTGGATTATTCCAAGTATTGGATTTTTCCCTCGGGCCTTATACCTCCGATTGAATTGTTCATGGTTCAAGATGTTTGATATTTTTTCTACAAATGTTTCTCCTTTCTTTTATTGAAGTTTTATATTTTCTAAGATATAAATTGAATTATTTACACAATTATATTTCTAATTTCATAAAGGACTATAACAAAAATTATGTCTTTGCACTTTTTCTAATTAATAGGTGTGTATTGTCTCACAAATTAACTTAATATCAAACCAAGGAAGTACAATACTTCTGTTTACAATTTCATTTATTCATAGTTTGCTCCCGATTCCTCTTTTAGTATTTAAAAAAAGTACTTCTAATAAATAGGAAAGGAAGTAGTAATTTTTATCGTTTTGAGTTCCTTTCTTTGAGAAAAAAAACTAGTTTCATGAATATTGACTTTTAAAAAAAAATAAAAATTATGCGTCTTGATTTATTTTTCAGATCTCAAAACCACAAATTTGATGCACAAGTCAAAAATGTATTCTCAAACGTGAGTTTTCTATTCATGAGATTTGTTAAGAACTTGCTTTAAGTTCTTTATGCATGTGAACTAACTTTCTCTTTCTCCTTCGTTTACTTTCCTTATCTTTAAAAAAAAAAGTAAAGGTTAGGAAAGTCAAAGCTAATATAATATATGCAATGAAGTTCTTAATTTTTTGGTAAATTATAGTTTGCGTCAATGCCGTGTTTTTTGCCTTGTATCAATCATTTGTAAATATTTAAAAACTAATTGAATCAATTGTAAGGTAATTATAGGTAATTTCTAACTAGTTATATGGTATGAAAAGGAAATGTAAACTATACATTGTCTTAAAATATTATTGTTTAAATTGACATTGATATAAAGTCAAGCTTCTTCACTTACTACTTTTTTATTTGGAAATTGAATGGTGAAGAGGTGGAGGAAATGATGTTTTTGTTTTCATTTGAATTGATTGTGACTTCTAATTTTTTATTGTTATTAAATGTAAAACATGGTAATATGTATATGTGGTAATGTACTAATGTCCATATATGGTAAATTTTGGTTATAGGAACATAGGAATTGTAGACCTAATTTGTTTGGCTTTTTTGATATTGTAGTAGGTTTGAGATTTATAAAAAAAATCTGCAAATAAATAAAGGGGAAATTTTCAGAACAATAATATTTTAGCATATAACAGGAACTCTTGTCAATACTTGCAATATTTATTTAAAATATTAATATTTTGATTTATTATAATGCTGATTGTATTTGATTAATATGAAAGAATACAAACTTTTAATAACATAATGAAAGAGAATCATGGGAAAAGAATATTTCAAAAAAAGTAAAAATATTTCCCTTAGTTTTGATCCTTACTAATTTGAATTTTCTTAAATATAATTTTATATGAAATGTATTCGGATGAACTTTTTTAAGTATGATTTTGTGTATTCAGATGAACTTCTTTAAATATAATTTTGTGTATTTGAGATTTCAGATGAACTTCTTTAAATATAATTTCATGTATTCAGAATTTCGGATGGACTTCTTTTTACAAACTGAGCATGTTAAATACTCATTTCGATTGAAAAGTTAGACCATACAATTCAAAACCTGATTGTATACAGTTAGGACGAATAAGAATTCAAATCTAAATACAAAGTAGCTGGTATACAAAGTGATATTGAAAATACAAAATGAGTCAAAGAAAGTACAAAATTTATTTTACTAATGGAATTAGTATGAATGCTTATATAATGAATACGTAAATAAACTGTATTTTGGTTATTCAGAATTGAAAAATGAATAGAAAATCAAATCTAAATATATACTATATGATATACGAAGTGATATTGAAAAAATAAAATGAGCAAAATAAAATACAAAAATTGTTTTACTGATGCAATTAGGATGAATACATATATAACATAAATAAACTCTATATGGTTAGAATTGAGAATGAATACAAAATCAAATATAAAATACAAAACTTGATGGATTACCATTAAGACGAATACGAAATCAAATCTAAATAGAAGCTATTTTGTATACAAAGTGATATTATAAATACAAAATAAGTAAAATAAAATAAAAAGTTTGTTTTACATTGTAACACCATGTGTCCAAAATAGACAGAAAATGCAGATTTTCAGAAATTGCAGGTGCCAAAGACGGAGCCAACTATGGACCATCAGTCGACTCCATCGATGGGCCAATCAAATTTCAGTCCTCAGTCGCGAACGACGATCGACCAATACGGATTGTCAGTCAACATACGGTTCGTTAGTTGACTCTGTCGATGGGCCAGCCGAATTTTAATCTTCAGTCGCGTAAAACAGTCGACCAGTATGGACTGTCAATCGACTTCGTTGATGGACCAACTAACTTTCAGTCCATAGTAGCTAACGACATTCGAACAGTTACGGACTGCCAGTCGACTTACAGTCTGTCAGTAGACTCTGATAACATTTGAGTCAGGGTTCTATTGGTATTTTTCTTGTTCGTTTGGCCCCTAAGCTACGTCGTTTAGACCCTAAATCATGAGGTTTTAGTCAGTTTAAGCCCAGAAACATAACTAGAACTTGCTTACGTCATATCATTAATCAAAACATAGAAAATTAGAAGTAAGAGAGGAAAAAATCCTAGTTCAAGAACGCAACAAGTTTCCACCAGTTTTGGCCTCGAAAAGAAAAGATTTTTCGTGGAATTCGTTATAAGGTATATGAGATTTCACTAGTGGGTTCCTTTCACCCATTGGGTCCCTAGATTTCAGTCAGATTCTTGATTCCCTTATAATGATTAGACCTAAGGTTTCTAGAACTTCAACAGATTATCATGAATTAGTTAGTTATATGTTCCAAATTATATTGACATATTATTACTCAGTTTATTATATGAATTTCATCACCATAGCTATGTATTTATTTAGTTCTTGAATTACACATGCTAGGTCAGATATTTCAATTACTTCAGATATACATACCTTAGTATCCGAATGCATCATTATTAGATTAATTATTATATTCTCAGTTTTTATGTTTAGATTTGAGTTATCTAGTATTTATATAAACTTATTCATAATCAGTTAACCACTGAATTCATTGGGAATAAAATAATACCGAGTTGGAACAGGATTCAACTTATCCGAATAGTCTCAAAATTACTAGCCACGTAGATTGTAAGTCCCCTTTGTGGACATTAGTTTAGAGATCACGCCAACATGCCTCTATACCTTTGGTAGGGTATATTGGGTTCTCTCGATGGGACATGTACATCGGACTCCACATTTACCTCATGTGGTTTTATTTCCGGTTATTAGTAGCATCCACATTTCAGTTAGACTCTATTGTATTGACCATATTTATAGTACAATCACTATTCATTCTCAGCATGTATAAATTTGGTCATTGCATCCAGTTAGTTCAACATTCAGTATATCATGTTCAAAATATTATACTTTCTGTTGTGCTTGTTCAATTATGTATTATTTCAGCTTTACTCTATCCTACATGCCCGGTACCTTTCAAGTATTGATGTATACATGCGCTACATCTTCTCGCGATGTAGGTTTAGGTTCTCAACATCCAGATCATGCTTAGATCGATTCCCGATCTTCACTTCAACAGAATTAGTGGTGAGCCCTCATTCTCCGAGGACAATAGTCATGTGTTTCTTTTAGAAATTTTAGTCATTTAGTTTCAGTTTTGCTATACTTAGCTAGGGCCTGTCCCGACATCTCTACTCAGTTAGAGGCTATTTTCAGACATAGTTGGTTTCATCTTAGTATTGCGTTAATAACTTCTTTGTATTAAGCTCATCAATTTTCATATATCTCAATTATAGTATATGAGTATTCACCACCCCTTTCATTTTATTTATCATTCAATTTCCTCATCAGTTTATTATCTTTATTATTCCCATGACATGCCAACAAGGTTAGCTTGGGATCACTTGTGTTCCTAGGTCCCGTGTCCGCATCTCGGGGGTACCTCAAGATGTAACGAACTTTGCTACCAATTAATCCATCATTTGTCCTTGAGAGATAAATGATTGGGTCGTTACTGTAGATATACCAATTAACCCATTATTTATCCTCGGATGAGTATCTAGGCGGAAAGAAGATAGACAAATTACTTATATTCGTAGCACAACTTGTGACCAAGTCAAGGATACGCTCCACTCTACGCAAATGGTACAATGCTACCACAATCCACGTACCAAATAATATCAAAACAAGAAATTTGAACGTATGAAACCACAACAAAAAAATTATCCTTCCCTATGTACATGATCCCATTTAAAGATATGTGGTCACCGTAATGACTATTTGAGAATCAAAAAGGCTACACGAGGGAGGGAAATGGGATTTTATGCCCATTTATTTCATTTCACTGCTGAAAAATTCTCAATAATCTATGACCAATACACCCAAATTTTCAAAACCAAGGTATACGTCGTGCTATTTACTCTTTTTACTTTAATAGTGTAGTAACCGTGAATTAATGGTAAGAGTTAACAGAGTAATATAGGGTTTGGGTTTATATTTGAATTTAGAAAATAACTGAATTGATTGTCAAAATTCCAAAAGCATGGGGTTTCCTTTTATGTTTACAACAGTAACACAACATTATGAGCTTAAGGATCACAAGAAATAATGTTGAAAGTGGGTCCAAAATGGTGGGAGAAGATGAAGGTTGTTCTTGGTTGAAACATATATTTGGGCATGATTTAGGAGTTGAAATGCCCAGATTTTGTATATTTAGGTAATGAGGTCAATTTAAGAATACCGATATGAAGAATATTTGCATAATACAGAAGTTTTTGTGGCCAAGGGAGCCATTGACACCCCTTGGAGGTCTAAATTCATGAAGTCCATCATAAAAACCTTATATCTCACTAAAGAAATGCCACTATAGTAGGCAACTTCCAACTATGGTGCTCTTCACAAGCGCAATAGTGCCCCTTTTACTACTACAGTTCCACCCTAGCCACTTTAGCGGAAGGGAGAAAGTATTGCAGCCTTGGAAGCTGCCAAAAAGTAGATTTTATCTTCGCACACACTTCTTAGGATGAAATTGTGTTTCCTAACCCTCATTTCTCATGCTATACATTATAAAATTACAAGAATTAAGGGCCCTGACGGACCTTATGAGATATTTCTTGATGCTACTAGGAAGGCAAAGTTTTGTGAGATCCAAAAAATGAGTTTTTGTCTTGAGAGGGGTTTTTAAATGAGGGGAGTGGCTTCAAAGCCTAGCACCTTCTACAACTGGATTTAAGAGTTTGGATGGGGTCTTTTAATGGTGGCTCCTCCCTTCTCATAGTGCAAGCGGTATTGGGGTTTTATGTATATTCCTATAGTTGTATGTGATTCTCCCAACGCA